CTGGAGTGTATCACAGCTATAAATCAAGTCCAACCCCATCGACTCTCCTTCCTCCTCCTCCTCCTCCTCTTCCTCCTCCTCTCCTGCTGTCATGTTCTCCTTCCCTCCTTCTTCTTGTCCTCTCAAATCATTCCCTCCACCTCATCCCTCTCTCCTCTCGCTCTAACATCACATTTCCCCCTCTCTTCCTCCTGTCTTCCCTTTTCGTCCCTCCTCTCCAGTCTTTTGGGGTTAACTCTAATTGATGAGGCTGCCTCCCATTGATCTTCTTTGATTAAATGGATCGTCGGCCATATTGCTCTCTGGCTCTCTTGTGGTTTTATTATGGGCCCTGGCACACTCATTACATTACAGAAAGAGAAGAAGGGACATTTGTTACAGTTGCTACTGAATAGACCACCACTGCAGTGTGTTAATTTAATTATCTGTGTTGCAAATGTTCTCTATTCACAATGCTTTAGTGGAGAAAATGCCACTTGTTCTGTGTTTTTCACATATACAGCTTTTTCTTAAAAACCTTTTTATTTTAACCTTTAAAAACTAGAAGATGTTATAGTCCTACATTTAGTGTGGAATTGGCACTTTCTTGGATATCGTATGCAGATATCCAACAGGAACTGGCGATGCCTGTTGCCCTGTTTTTACTCAACCTAAACAGTCCAAAGAAAAGTTCTGTGTGACCTAAAAACCAAATGAACGACTGCCCACTTTCGCTACTGCCCATTTGTACATGCCCATTTTATGCAACTACCCGGTTTTACCTGAATCCCCATTTGCGCAACTCTTAGTTTGTCTTGCTGCCCTTTTACGCAACTGTCCATTTATGCAACTGTCCATGTGCGCAACTGTCTGTTTTTCCGACTGCCTTTTTGTCGGACGGCCCATTTACGCATGTGCCCATTTATGCAACTGCCCATTTGTTCAACTGTCCGCTTGTCTGGCTGCCTTTTTGTGCGACTGCCCATGTGCGCAACTGTCCGTTTATATGATTTCCCGTTTACGTATCTGCCCATTTAAGCAACCCCCACTTATACGACTGCCCATTTGTGCAAAGGGCTGTTGCTCCCAAAGTACAACAACAGGAAGCTGATGGGCTGATTATAAGGCAGAAAAGACCCATCAGACCCCTATTGCCTGTTTTTCTTTATATGTTTAATAACTAACTCTCAATACGGTTGGGAATTGACCTGTAAGGCTGAAGGTCAGGATAGTTTGTAGGGAAGAAAATCTCTGATACTTTCACAAATCGACTGTTACCAACTAGACATGCACTATTTATGTTCCTGTCATGTACGGCAGGTCATGCCTTTTGTCTTTGTAGGACAAAAAAGGGAAGTCCAATGAAGTTATAGCAATAAGGTTATGTTCTGTTGTACAGAGAGTGTGTATTACCAGAGAAACCAAACAATGGCCATTTTCCTATAACAGGCTGCCCGGGACATTTGCTTTTGGACAATTTTGGACATTGTAGTGGAGCAATAATGGGCTGTCAGAACAATGGCAAGGCACTAAAGGATTTGAGCAACAAAAATAGAGACTAAAATATAAATTATAGAACTGAGCTCTTGTACAATTTACTCATGACATGCATATTGCATTTTATAGTAAAGCAGCAGCAGAGAGATGAGGAGAAGGCGGAAGGTAGACTTCATTTCTCCTAATCTCTCCACTTTTACGGCATCATGCTGCGGGCGTAAACAACCACTGTTCCTCTCCCTTCACAGCCACACAAGGACTAACGGCCCCTACACACAGCGGCGTGCGTTACCGCTTGGCGGTGGGCGTGTCTGAAGCTTGGCGATTTTTTACGAACAACGCGACCAACAACCAATCACATGAAGTTCCCGCCCCGGACATACAAAGCAAAGCGTTCATGCTACATCCATGCTGGCTAAATATACTGTCTATGCTTGCTAGCTGTCCATTCAAACGAAGTACACTGGATATAAACTCCCCAAAAAGGCGAAAACCTACCAGTTTCACCCACTGTCTCTGCCACCTCCCCCCATGCCTGGCTCCTCCGGTTTGTATCCCTGTATGTAAAGAGGGACTGGTCATATAGTCCCGCCACGATCATTTTCTCCTCCATTATTTGACATATGGGAAATAACTGCGGTCTGGCTCTCCCAACATACACGCGGTTTGATTGGCTAGCGCTTGTAATGTCAGATTTGCATACGCGGGATTTGATTGGCTGACGCCTCCGTCGAGGCGGCAAAAGTAGAACATTGTTCTACTTTTGCGGCGAGCACCACGAGAGAAGCTACGCTTTGCTCCCACAATGCAGTTCGGCGAATCGTGACGTCACCCCATTCAAAGTCAATGGGCAGAAGCGTTGAAGCGGCAACGCACGCCGCCGTGTGTAGGGGCCGTAACTGTGCTGCTGGCAGACACAACAGGCACATCTACACACTTTCAACTGCAACAACAACACATAGTGCAGCACACAACTAACTGGTGACACCAAATCGTACGATGAAAGGACGTTTCAATTGAAGCTTTTGGATACACATGCTGCGTATTTGTTCGTGCACAGTGTAATGACTTGTTACCTGATGAAACCTCAAGCTGAGAAATCCCATTCTCAAAAGCTGGGATTGTTCTCTTTTTGTGAGAGAGACTAATGTCAGTGTGCCGCTCTCTGGAAGTTACAGAGCCGGCAGACTGTAGTATCCTGTTGTTTTCAAAATGACGGCACTTGAATTGTCCCCACAACAAAGCAGATTCTCTCCGAGGTTTGTTTTTGACCTTGGAAACAGCAGCTTGACAAAAAAGCTAATCCTGAAGCGCCGACTGAGGCGAACAAAACACTGAAGTCACATTTCAAGTCAAACACTGTACAATGTTTGGTTATGTTGCTAAAAAGATGGAAAAGCTTTATCATGTCAAGGCAAAATATATAATACTGTTGCAGCCATGGTTCAAAATTGACCAATAGCTCAATATCGATTAGTGCAATGTTCAAATCGCAGGTAGCAAAATAGTTTTTAAGGGCTTCACATGTGTTATATACAATGTAAGTATTGTGGAGCTGCAGAGACATCCTAGCCTACAAATACAAATTCTACAGACTTAATGAAACATATTTTGGTTAGTACAGATCTTTAAAGCAATTACAGCATAATGATTTGAATATATTTTTCAATGATAATGAGCGCTGTATTGCAAAAACGATAAATGCTCCCAAAAATTGCAATTTCAATCATGTTTTTCTCCAAATCGTGCAGGCAGAGAGGTCAATGTACGGAGTTTGACGGTTCTAATCGTGCCTTCATTCATTCAAAATGACTTTATTACATTACATGTCACTTGTTAGACGCTTTTACATGCTGACTGCAGAGGGACTCAAACTTGCTACTCCCTGATTCAAGCTCAGCGCACTCAGTTCAGCGCACTATCTCACTGATACCACAAAACTCTTGCAGTAGCCATTGGTCACATCCAAAAAAGACAATGCAAGCATTTTCTACCAAGGTTGTCAATGTCTTCACGAAACTCCTGCCAGCTGTATCATTTTACAGATACAAATACAACTTTTGCTCATAGTGGCTTTAATAATTTACCACCACCTCATGGAAATCTTCTCTGTTTCATAAGGCAATAACTTCCCCAGTTTCTGTCGAGTCATCACTTCCTACACGCTCTCAGAGAATGCGACAACAAGTAACTGGCACAATAAATCCAGAGCCACCTGCTGTATTTGTTTTCAGGGTTTGAGGTATTTACCATGTTGGGTTTCGTTTGATATTCAGCAAAGCCGAGCATTCGTGTCGCTCTGATTTTCCGCTCTTGATTTACACTTGGCTTAGAGAGAAAGCTGAAGAAAGATGACATTTTGTCTCGAAAGCTGTCAAGTTTGTCTTCAGTGTGTCTGTGTTTGCCCTCTCCGGCTTATCCTCCTTTTTCTCTGCCAGTCCAACAACTTCTGCCTCCTCTAATCCCTCTCTCACTTTCTTTCACCTCCGCCTCGTCGTGTCTACCTGTGTTCTCAGAGGAGATGACTGAGTCAGTGCTCAGATAATCAGCCCGTTCAGATGAAGATAATGGGGAGTTCCAAAACAATCTTCAATGCTAATGAAAGCACAGCGCCTCGGGGAAAGTGTTGAAAGAACATTTTGCTTTTTTAAGTAGAGTTTAAACATTGACCGGCGTTATTATTTCTCTTTTCCTGGAATCAACCCCTCGTTCTTGATGTGCTGCAAATGTATTTCCCTCTGAGATATCCGTGTGGAAAACAGGACACCCACCGAGACGAAATGATTGGCTTCATGAATATAAAACTGAGACGTGAATATATTTTGTGGCTGAAGGTATCATGAGCCGTCTCATTATAAACTAATAACCTTTCTGGAGGCTGCACAATATTTCTTTTTAGATCAGAATAGATTCAAACAAATTGGAGTAAAACATAATTTTTTTTCTGCTTTCACTGAGAAAACCCTGATTTGCTTTTAAGCGTTTTTAGCACCTCATCTGTCACAGTTTGAGGCTTTGTTATGGGACGCTTCATTTAACAAATGTGTTAAAAAATGTAGGAACTCTTAAAGGAACTACAGACTTTGTTCTGCAGCGTTCATTGTTTTTAAATAGGCGCTATTATCATAAAATACAATTGAATACAGCCAAGTTTCCACCGCACTTGAGGGTTAGCTTCTGATACATTAGCTTATTGTTCTTGATGTGTTTTCTTGCATTATTGTTCATCAGGTCCATTTCCAAACTAACTCTGAACATCAAGTGTTTAACAGAGGTTAGATTAACAGCCTAAACAACAGACTGATCACCTGATTATCCAAAGTCTTTGTCGAATACATCATCTTGGCTACGGTCGAATAGTCCAAATAATCTGCACTTCCTAACCACTATTCCTAAACCTAGGTGAAAATCTGAGGAGATGTTCGTACTTATTTCAAGTGAAGACACCTTGTTTTCATGATTTGTTCAACTTGTTTTTTGAGCAGCATTTTCTCCAGTGAATAAACTTGCCTTTCTTCTTCCAGGTAAATTCACGTGCATCGAGGTGCGTTTCCACCTTGAGCGTCAGATGGGCTACTACCTGATCCAGATGTACATCCCGTCTCTGCTGATCGTCATTCTGTCCTGGGTCTCCTTCTGGATCAACATGGACGCCGCGCCCGCCCGCGTGGGTCTGGGCATTACCACCGTGCTGACCATGACCACGCAGAGCTCCGGGTCCAGAGCCTCGCTGCCCAAGGTGAGGACCAATCAAACGCACCTCCTGAAGGCTGCTAAACCTAAACCTAACTCTCACCCTAACCCTTAGATTAGAGCCTCGCTGCCCATGGTGAGGACCAATCAAACGCACCTCCTGAAGGCTGCTAAACCTAAACCTAACTCTGACCCTAACCCTTAGATTAGAGCCTCGTTGCCCATGGTGACGACCAATCAAATGCACCCGTTTCTGTTACAGGCTGCTGACCCTACCTCTGACTCTAACCCTTAGATTTATATAGACCCTGACCTTTTAACATTTTTGGTAAAAAATACATTTAATGATGGATCTGGGGAAAAAATAAACCATAGTTGGTGGTTGTGGAGGTGCAGGCGTTTACAAAAATGTGCTTACATGAGATGTTGTACAACATTCCTTCATTCATCCTGCTTCGGTTTCATGCTGCCAACCCTGACCCTGACCCTGACCCTGACCCTGACCCTGACCCTGACCCTAACCCTGACCCTGACCCTAGCTGCTATTTGAGGAAAACTCTGTCTTAAAAGTTGGTAAAAATACATTTTATGAAGGATCTGGGGGAAATAAACCATAATTGGAGGTGCAGGCATTGTGCTTATATATGTGGTACAACATTCTTTCAATGTGTATAAATTAAGTGGGGAAATTATATTAATAATTAAAAATAATAATAATAATAATGAAAATAATAGTCAATAAAATAAAATGTAAAAAAATAATATGATAAAAATAATGAAGAAAATAAATAAAGAATAATAATAACAACAAAAGTAATTAATAATATAAACTCAAATAAGACAAAAACTCCCGCTAAAATTACACATTTGCATACCATTTGTTTCCAGTTTAAATAGCATTTAATTGAGCTGCTATTCAAGACAAATGTGTGTAAAGTGGGAATTTTAAAAGATATCTAAAATACATATTTAATTATGGATCTGGGTGAAATATTTAAAAACTAGAATTTGTCATTGTAGGAGAATTAATGACTTTACAATGTATTACATTTAAAACATATATTTGTTGTCATAAATTAAATGTAATAATAATCATAGTAAATTGAAAAAAATGATATGGTAAAAATAATAAATAAAACAAATGAAATAAGAAAGAAACTCCCGCAAAAATGACAAATTCCCAAAAACATTTCTTTTCAGTTTAATTTAGAGAATTTCAAAGTTGTTTGGAGATCCAGTCAGAATAAGTGAATGGCAGAACTGAGTAAAAGCTACATTCATTGTCAAAAGATATAAATGCATGAATATGACTGGAAGGTTAGGGTGGCAAATGTTTTCCACACCTTTCTCCACACGGCTGGAGATGCCAAATAAACAGGGAGCGTAGAAAGGAAATGAAAACATGCGAGATTCAACAGAGAGAGAGAGAGCTCCAACTCCCACTGAATAATGTATGGGCTAAACACGGTGAGAGGAAATGAAAATATATAGACACAAAGAAGAGTTATAGTAGAAGAGGGAAATGTGGAGGAAGGGGGGAGACGTTGTGTTTGTGGAGGGAAGAGGGTTTAAAGGAGGCAGACAGATGGAGGGAGAAATGGAGGAGACACAGGAAGTTGAAGAAAACTAAATATCTCAAAATCAAGAGAAACTGTTTCCTGTGAGGGATTTTCAGATTAAAGGTAGGAGGAGAAAACAACAGGACAGACTTTGCGTGAGCCAGTAGGATTGTATAATTATGTCCAGGGATGCTGTAATCCCCACACTCTCTCACACACACACCCACACACACACACACACACACACACACACACACACACACACCCACACACACTATGTGTGTTGACATTAGGTGCTTCATGCGCTCTAAAAATTTAACAAGTGAACCGTGATTCCTCTGCAGTTCAGCTGTCACAATAATGATCACACAGCACAGCTGAGCTTAGGTGGGCATACTGCTCACACACACACACACACACACACACACACACACACACACACACACACACACACACACACACACACACAGACACACAGAGAGAGACACTCGTACATATGTGTGTGATTGATAGCAGACACAAACACACCTACACACGGCTCTCCTCACATGCCACAGAGGAGGACTGCACTATGTCAGGCGAGGGGAGAGGAGATAAGGAGGTAGGAAAGAAGGAAAAGAAGGTGAGGAGAGAAGAGATAAGGAGGTAGGAAAGAAGGAAAAAGAAGGTGAGGAGAGAAGAGATAAGGAGGTAGGAAAGAAAGAAAAGGAAGGGGAGGAGAGAAGAGATAAGGAGGTAGGAAAGGAAGAAAAGGAAGGTGAGGAGAGAAGAGATAAGGAGGTAGGAAAGGAAGAAAAGGAAGGGGAGGAGAGAAGAGATAAGGAGGTAGGAAAGAAGGAAAAAGAAGGTGAGGAGAGAAGAGATAAGGAGGTAGGAAAGGAAGAAAAGGAAGGGAGGAGAGAGAGAAGAGATAAGGAGGTAGGAAAGGAAGGGGAGGAGAGAAGAGATAAGGAGGTAGGAAAGAATGAAAAATAAGGTGAGGAGAGAAGAGATAAGGAGGTAGGAAAGGAAGAAAAGGAAGGGGAGGAGAGAAGAGATAAGGAGGTAGGAAAGAAGGAAAGAGAAGGTGAGGAGAGAAGAGATAAGGAAGTAGGAAAGGCAGAAGAAAAAAAGGTGAGGACATACTTTCTGTCTTCAAGTAATATGTTGGCGAATGGATGGTTCCGATCAGATCAGAATACCTTTATTAACTCACAGTAACGTATTGTTGGATGCAAGCGTAGACAAAGCGTATCAGTCATGATGTTCCAACAAAGGTCATATAATCTTAAATGTCTACGAACAGCCTTTACCTTCCTCAAGAGAGATGTGTTGCCCTTTAAATGAGCTTTCACAGCAACTCAATTACAAAAGGCAATCCTGAACACGATCCTGATCCTGCAGAAAATACCACTTTAATGAAAAATGAGATATTTCTTTCTGATTTCTTCGAGAAAATCCAACTGATTTGGTGACAGGATGATGCAAGAGGCTCTGACCGAAACATGTATTGAGCCTTCTCTCATTAAGTTCATCTGTAGAATGAACCCACTGTGATTTAATTGCAATAACAGATAAAAGGAAGTCAAAATTACGTCATAAACGACAAGCTTAATTATTTAAAATGTTTATTTCCTGGATGGAGTTTGGTTCTAGTAACATCTGAGCTGGACCATCAACACTCTTGGGTTTATGCACACACATTTAAACAAATAGAAAATGGTCTGGTATCGGTGAAAGTATGAGGGGAGATTGTAGATCTCTGGGTGCTTTTATTGTATCCTAATGATGTGATCTGTTAAATGTAACACCGAAGCCTGGAAGCAACGCATTTGTTAACAGAAATCATGGCCAGTTTGATTTTCTTTGTTCAAAAAGAAGCTGGATATGTCGCCTTGTTTACAGGGAATCTCAAACCAAGTAGTAGAAGCGTCTGTCTCCTCAGTGATGACGTGTTTGATGATGTGAGTTTGTTGAGCTGATCCATTAGTCAGCGGATCGGTCAGAACACACTCCTAAGTGTGTCCTTCTCCTGTGAACATTGTCCTGTGAGGCCTGAGTTCAGTAAACTGCAGTTCGGCCGGACGCCGCTGGTCAGTTTGTCCGTCAGAAGCCCAGAGAGGAGGCCGGATGTGGTTTGGTTTTAATAAGCTTAGTTCCTCTACTACATCTGCATATATTAAAGTGTATCACTTAAAGGTGGGGGAGGGTCATTTTGGAGAAACCAGCTCGAGTGCGCTGGAATTTGAAAATACACGGCCGGAAGAAATCTGCCACTTCCTCACAGAGCCCCTCCTCCAACACACGAACGCGCACATGACCAATGAGGGCACGAGGTAAGTTTGTGCCCCGATGGAAGGCTGACAGGCAGGTAGGCCATCCAGTTACTTTAGCCGGGCCGGGGTGACATTTCTTTATGGATTTATTGTCAAAGCACTTCAGATATTCATTGCTATCGGGATGTTAAGAGCATTCCATGGAATAAAACACAAAGTGTATCTCGAGCCGGTTTCTCAAACTTACCTACCCCACCTTTAAATGAAGATACAGAATATACGCCATCACTTACTGTGCATCAGAGAATATCCATACTTGTTTTAAGAGACTATATTCTGCTTTTTGGGCTTTACCTTTCCTGTAGTTTGTTCTATATGTTTTAGTGCATGTAAACGGTCTGCAAAGGCTAAAATCCCTGTGTTCCCTCCAGAGGGAGTTTCTGTACCACACACATCCCCTCTTGCCTTTGTTTACTTTCGGAACATTGTGACATCACCTTGTACGTGATGGCTAAGGAGCTATTGACCAATCAGACAGAGGGTGAAAAGAGGTGCTGCAGCAGTATGAGAAAAATAAAGAGCTTTTTGAACATTAAAGCATGGAGACATGTAGAGACACTACATACTGATATACACCTGAACATCAGCAGGAGAGGACTCTTTAAAGTAGAGACACTACATACTGATACACACCTGAACATCAGCAGGAGAGGACTCTTTAAAGTAGAGACACTACATACTGATATACACCTGAACATCAGCAGGAGAGGACTCTTTAAAGTAGAGACACTACATACTGATATACACCTGAACATCAGCAGCAGAGGACTCTTTAAAGTAGAGACACTACATACTGATATACACCTGAACATCAGCAGGAGAGGACTCTTTAAAGTAGAAACACTACATACTGATATACACCTGAACATCAGCAGCAGAGGACTCTTTAAAGTAGAAACACTACATACTGATACACACCTGAACATCAGCAGGAGAGGACTCTTTAAAGTAGAGACACTACATACTGATATACACCTGAACATCAGCAGGAGAGGACTCTTTAAAGTAGAGACACTACATACTGATATACACCTGAACATCAGCAGGAGAGGACTCTTTAAAGTAGAGACACTACATACTGAGATACACCTGAACATCAGCAGGAGAGGACTCTTTAAAGTAGAGACACTACATACTGATATACACCTGAACATCAGCAGGAGAGGACTCTT